GAGAAAATAATTTTGACAACAATAATTTTGACAGTGTTTAAGATGTATGTGTATATCTGACATATGTTAATATATTTCTAAGCATGTGGTTAATAAGAGATAAAACTAGAAAATTAGGTTTTGGTGAGGCTGCATTAGGGTCTTGAATATGATGCTAAGGGACTACAATTTATATGGTAAACTTAAGGTTATGTCAGTTAGGCTTGAAACAGCTTACAAAGCAGCCAAAAATAGAACTTATAATGAACCAATATTTCCAGAAAATATTTGTTCAGTGCCAGAGATAAAAGTAACTTTATGTGACTAGAGTGCAGAGCAAAGAAGCTGGGCAAAGAAATGACAATTAAGTTTTTTATATGATGTATATTTTTATATTACATCTGGAATTTCATGAAACGGAAATATGTATACTTGGGTAAGCATGTTTCTTTAACAGCCAATAATGAACTTTTTTGTTAGATATCACGGATGAGTCTTTACTGTTAAGATTTCCTTTATCTTTGATTTGCATCATTTTGACTTTGATATGCGTAGGTGTTATTTCCTTTATATTTTTTCAGCTTGAGATTTTCTGAGTTTCTTGGTTTTGTAGATTGATGTCTTTCATCAATTTTGGAACATTTTCAGCCATTATCTTATCAAATATTTTTTTCTGCACCATATACTTTCTCTTCTACTTTTAGGATTCCAATTACATGTGTGTTAGAATGTTTGTTATTGTCTCACAGGTATTTTATGTTCTGACTTATTTTTCTATTTTACTTATTTTTGCCTTGAGCTTTAGTTGGGATAATTTTCATTAATCTCCCTTACAGTTCACCTGTCCTTTTTTTGAAGTGTCCATTTCTACTGTTAAGCCCATTTAATGGTTTTATCATTTCAAATATTTTATGTTTCTGTTCTAAAACTTTTTAAAAGTTCTTATATTTAAAAGTTTGAAATATTCCAAACTTTCATTGATTATATCCATCTTTTATTCTAATTATAATTATAATAATATTTAATAATAACAATTATTATTCTAATTATAATAGTTGTTTAAAGTCTTAGTTAATTTCAACATCTGAGTCATCTGTGGGTCAGTTTTCATGGGTTAGTCTTCATAGAGGCTGGAATAGAAAATATTTATCCCCCATAAGGGGCTGATCTCTCTGCTCAAATCAGGAATAGAGTTAAGTTGGGATTGGGTTGCAGATTTAGTTGGTTTCAATTTACTTAAAGCTGGTTCCAAAAGCTCTAAGTTGTAAAAGTTCCCTCCTGCCTGCTGTGCTTTGTGTCCACGTCACCGTGGGATTCTGCTCTGCTGTCCAGCTCTGCCTTAAGAGTTCTGTGCCACTGGAAATCTTTCTTTGCCTCCCTGCCTAGACTCAATTGCCCACATGCTGCTAAGCTCTTGGTAAAAGTCCTAAGGTTCAGAATTAGTAAATCCTGAGGACTTGCTCTGTGTCTGGGCTGATATGTTTTCGATATTCCACATTAGCCCAAGATTGTTAAAAGTTCAGCCAGTTTTTCCTTCCCCTGCAACATCCTCACCCAGTGACAGGTCTGCTTCCTCACCTGTTCCCTGAGAAGGAAGCTGCCTCTAGTCTTAGCTCATATAGGAAGACCTTCTCTCTCTCTCTGAGATTTAGTTTTCCCTAAATTTCTTTGTGTCTTCAGCTCCCTAATGGGTTCAAAAATATGCATATGTAATTTAACTGTTTTTTTTCCCATTTTATGGTGGGGGCATTGGGCATTCATGACCCTATTCATCATAACCAGAAGCGGGATTTTGAAGACTCTCTGTTTTTGAAATCACTTTATCAATATATTTTCTGATTCTAAAAATAGTAATCGTTACAAAAAATTTTAACAATCATTAAAATGCACCATATTTCATGAATATGCATTTTCATCATTTATTCTAGTCCTCTCTGGATTGCTTTAATTTAAAAGTATTTGGTGTTTAAGTGGAAAGAATTTTGCCTTCTCTTCCAGTCCTCAGTCTTCAACATTCCCTTTTGCTTCTTGGATTCCACTTCTTTTCCTCTCACCTTTCACAAGTACCTTTTGTGATATGGAAGATTAAATGCATCACCCTTATGCTATGCAGTGAAATTTGGCTTGGTTGTATCTCTTTCTTCCAAAGGAGTCCTCTCTATGGCCAACTACCAGGATCGTCATGATGAGATGGCACTCATACTTGGGGGAGACCAACACATGTATTTCTTACAATATATAGCATTTAATTACAAATCTACTGAAAAATACTTATGGAATGTCACATCATAGGATCCCTATGGAAATATTCAGGTTTGTGGAAAGGATCTTCTGAGAGGTACAATGAAATTTAGTGATCTTTCTTGCCAAATAGGAAAAGAATGAGTCCTTAGCTACACACTGCAGGGCAAAAGATCTCTCCTGTAACACACAACAAAGGCAAGGCACTAAAAGAATATATGGAAATATGTAAGATAAGACAGCTATTGTCAAATAAAGTGAATTCCTTTATTTAATCATTTGTGGCTCTTGTCCTCCTTTTCAGTCAGTATCAGTAACTAGACTGGTCTTGTCCATATGCTTATTTATGTCAGGGGCTGTCAGGGTATTTGCGATGACTCCTCTGTCTTATGGAATGGGTTGAGGTGAATTTCCTCTCGTGCACTGTCACAGTGCTGCGTGGCGATGATATATTGTGCTTAGTACACTTGAGCTATTTTTATGCACAAAAGGATGCTGATGTTTTACATGTTTACATGTGTATTTTAGCCTTGAAATTTTTCCCTCTTTATTAAAATAAACAAACTATAATCTAAGCCATTCTAGAAGTAGTTGGCATATAAAGTCTTAAATAAATAAATAAATAATAATGCACATTTCATATTTTTCTGAGCATGTTTGTATTTACTGTCTAAACTGATAAATGTATCAACTCTGAGAAGATGATACTTGTATCCTTGTTTTTTACTGATGAGGAAACTCAAGTTTGTGGTTACTTAGCTACAAAAAGAGAAGTGACTTGCCCAAGACCACAACAAAATTCATGGTAGAATTGAGTCAATACTGAACAAATTCTTACTTCATCTACTTTGAATGTATTGCCAGATATGACCAATTTAGGACAATAGGGGCACTAGTTTTAATTTCTAAATGCAGGGATAAAAATAGATGAAATTATTGTTAATAGCATAGGTTCAACTTTATTTTTCAATGATGGCCCCAAACAGGTCTCTGACTCCATTTATCCTCCTCCTCCTCATTTAACTTTTATTCTCTTTTATCACAAGGGTTACTCACAGCCAACTAGCCAAATGAAAAGTACAGCTTGATTAAGGATCTCTTTTGTCAGTAATTTGTGCCTAATGTTTTTAGCTTTCCCATGGGCTGTTGTAAAAAAATGGTAAATCTGGTTTAAATGAAACCTGATCCTGTTAATGGTTTAATAGCAGCTGCCACAGGGTTATGGTATTTTTCAACAGATGCCTCTATTTTATTCTGTATCTAAACTGAGTCTTAGAATATTTACATGAGTCATATAAAATAACCTACACAATTTTTGTTGACTATATTGTTTTAAAATAGTCTCCAGTAAGACTTTATCTTTATCCATTTGTAATAATTCACACAAGATTTAAAAAAGAAACCCAAGGCTATAATCTGTTCTTTCAAATTTTAAGATTATCCATGTCATGATTTTCCTAATTTTTTTTTAAATGCCGAGAAATAGATTCCATCTCTCAAAGTCTGGGGACTTGAAAAGTGGCTTGGTTAATCTAAGTATTTCATCCATCTTTGCAATTGTTTTTATTTAGCACAGGCACATTGCTTATATAGTAATGTGCATTGTAGTTCAACTGAAGTAAACAGAGGACTCACAAAATTAAATGAGACTCTATTGTTTTCTTCAAGAGGTAGACCTTGTAATAATAATTCAAATTATCGTTATGGGTAGGATTAGTTCCTCTGGAGAGTTTGTTCAGCCACTTTTTTTTTATTTATTTTTTTTATTTCGGCATATTATGGGGGTACAGATTTTAAGCTTTCAATAAATGCCCATTTCCCCCCTCCCCCCATAAGTCTGAGTCTCCATCATGACCATCCCCCAGATGGTGCACATCTCACTCATTATATATGTATGTACCCGCCCCCCTCCCACCTGCCCAATACCCTATCACTGTAGTACCTATGTGACCACTTAGGTGCTGTTCAGTTAATACCAATTTGCTGGTGAGTATATGTGGTGCTTGTTTTTCCATTCTTGGGAAACTTCACTTAATAGTATGGGTTCCAGCTCTAACCAGGAAAATATAAGATGTGCTATGTCACCATTGTTTCTTAGAGCTGAATAGTACTCCATGGTATACATATACCACATTTTATTAATCCATTCTTGGATTGATGGGCACTTGGGCTGTTTCCACAGCCTTGCAATTATGAATTGTGCTGCTATAAACATTCGAGTGCAGGTGTCTTTTTTGTAGAGTGTCATTGGATCTTTTGGGTAGATGCCCAGCAATGGGATTGCTGGATCAAATGTGTTCAACCACTTTTTAAAAAACATTTATTCTGTGCAATGCACTTGTGCTGGGTACATAAATGATACAAAGATCAAGGACAGGTATGAAACAATGGCTATGATGGAAGATAGCAATAGTTATACAATAGATAGTTATGCAATACAACAGAGCTCAAGCAAAGAGGAACGAATACAGAATATCATGTTAATTAACATATTACAAGCTTGATTTCTAAAGCTCATGAAGTACAGAATCTTGAACGGGCAGGGTCAAATTCGTCTTTTTGCGTGGGTCACATTTTGATGGTGGTATTGTTGCTCAATTACCTGGAGCTGGTGGGGTGAGTCATGTGAATACACCCAATAGTAAATTTTCAAGGGCAAACAGCAGGAGTTCAGACCAACTGTTTACTTAATTCTAAATTGTCTACAAGCATCAGTGAATATGTTGTGTTTCTAAAAGGACAAGCATCCCAATCTTCCCTTGTCTTTATATCTTTCCTAGGTACTTCCTCAAAAGAAAGACGTGAAACCTGGCATGGCTTTCTTGTTTGAACTCTTTCTCCTGCGTGGAACATGTGCTCACCTCCACCAGGTCGTGGGCTGGGCAGTGTTCCCTTTGTGTGATAACAACTTCCACGTAGTGGAGGGAAAATTCAAGTGTCCCCTTCTCCGAGGACCTTATGACCAGAAACTCAGCAACTTCAGGATAATTGAAGATTTAATTTGTCTGGACTTGGACCACTGGCTGTGCAATCTCTATTTTCAGGTTTGCAGTGTGATTTTGTAAGTAGAAAAGAACTTAAACTTCTTGTTCAGCTGCTTCTTTCTAGCCTTTAGTTTCTTTTCATGCTATTGGAAATTTTAATAAGTATCATGAAACGGTAAAAATAATTACATCTTTAATACTGATTTCTGATAACGTAGATTAAATTGGCATGTAGAAATAAAGAACACAATGCTAGAGTTAGCAGGGAACTTAAAGATCATTGAATACGATCTTCTGTATTGTGAATGGGCCAGAACTGCTGCCCAAGCCTCCTGGCTCTCAGTTCGCAGTCTGTTGCAGGGGGAGCAGAGTGTGCAGCTTCATCTCATCAGTATGGGATAGGGCTGCTATGCTTCCTTCCTTATTGAATGAAAGTACTTACTGCATTTCTGTTGTGTGTTGACTATTGCCTGCTCCAGGGCTACAAGAGAGAGAAGCTGTGGCTTCTGCCTTCCAGACTCTTGCTGTCTATCTGATGAGACAGACATATGTTCATCTAAAGAATAACTAACGATCCCTATTTCTACAGGACTCGAGTGGCCATCACAAAACTATCTTCCTTTGGCATACTACTTCAAGGCATGCTGTCTTGGGTTTACCTCTAGTATTTACAACAAACAAACCAAAAGCACTTGGGCATACATCATGCATTTGTATATATTTGGCATTCTGGCTATTTTCTAAACAAGGCTTTGAACAGGAATGCCATTGCATATATTCATTCTAGGCAAACACTACAGAGGATCCAGAAAATGACAGCATCCATTAAGCATAAACCATTCCAACACATTTGTAGTCTATTTTTGTCCTATATCCAAATTTTTTCTTCCTGATTATGATGTTTTTCCAGGTGGCCTGTATTATAACATCCATGAATTGTTCTTCCTTACCTACACATTTATTTTTTTAATCTGTCTACCTACCTACCCATGTGCCTAATGATGGAACTATTAAATATGGATATTTCCAGGAAACACATGTAATTTTGGCCTTCAAACAAGCAGCTACATATGCTTGTGTGATGGTCTTCCTGTTTCCTATTTAGTTTGAGTAGAATTATCTGGCATTTTCTCCCCTTTTAGCTAATTTTCTTATTATCAGGTTTTACTGAAATATCTTGTTGGGACAGTCTAGGTATGCTGTTAAGAAAGTAATTCTCACATGAATATATGCCTTTCTGTTCATTCTGGAAACAGGACTATCCCTGATAAATCTGATTGTACATTAGAATTATGTGGGGATCTAACTGGGTTCTACTCTCAGAGATTGTGATTCAATTGTTTCGGGTTGGGGCCTCAGGCATCAGAAGTTTTTAAAAGCTTCTAAGAATCAGAAACATGATATAAATAACCTTGAAAAAGAAGACTATAGTAAATGAATGCAAAGAAGTTATTGAAAAATTATCCAAATTTTGAAGATAATTATAGAAAACCCACAACAAAATATTTTAAAAATTGGTGACTTGAATACTGTACTAAGAGTCAAAATAAATTTAAAATTAAAATATAGCCATAAAATAAAATTAATTTTGGTTTAGTTCATATGAAAGGCATCTATAATTTTTAACTAACTTTTTCACTAATTGGTGCCTAAAATTCTGTGTTCTATAAATTATGGCATGGAGAGTCAGAACTAACTTTGTTTCATAAAAGACAATTTATGTAGTACTGCTATGAATCATAAAGATAATTTATATTTAAGGTTAAATCAAGAAGTGATGCACAAAAGTTACAAGATCAAGAAAAGTGATTGTTAAACAACATAAGAATCATTTGATTTGACCAAAATCTACTTGAATTTGAACATATTACTAAAATTTTCCTCTTTTTGTTCTGACTTCCCATTTTTAGAAAAAGCCTTGGGGGAAAAAAAGTAATAAAATGATTTATCTACAGAGCCTAGTTTGCTCTCATCATTATAAATGGATGTGATTATCCATTAACATTCTTATTTGATGGACAATAATAGAAATTTTATCCCTCCGTATATTTCATGGGGGGAGACTTATTTATGAGAGTAGTAAAATTAGGCAAGATTCATGATTTTCTGATTGTAGACAGAAGAAGTAGGAATGGAGATGCTTCTTTTTCATGAGGACAAAAACAAAAAAAAATTCTTATCTGGAAACCCCAATGTGTAATTCTAAAATATGTGAATTTTCCCAATGTGAGTTTTCTCAAATGGAAAAATTTCTGAACAAGTAAATGTTGGATTTACTCAAGAAAAGAAAAACTTGGAAGTGGGAGGAGAAAAGACATGTAATGCAGATGATGAGATAGAAAAGTGATTTTTTACAATACAGCCTTAGAGGAGACTAAGGAAAACAAGACAGTCCAGGTGAATACTGATTTTTCCTTTTCCGAGTCAGTCAGCAGGAGGAAATGGCAGCGTCTGAAGCCATGAGGGAAATCAGTTAATACCAAAGAAATGCTTTCTTTGTCATGCAACCAAACAAAATCACATAGGTTTAAAAAACTGAATTTATTATTGACCTTTTAGATTATTTAAATTGTCTCATTGTTCTTGAGAAAAACTGTGTATGTAATAGTTTCAACATTTTAGATAACAGATTTATCTCTTCATAGGTAATTAAACTTCCTTTGCATTTGGATGATCAAGAAAACCACGAAAGCCATACTCAGCTTTCCCCGGAATTTCCGGTTTTTCTAATGGCTAAACCAGAGACAGCAGAATCAGGGGTGGACAATACCGCTGGCCTCTCAGAGAAAGAAATGGAGAGAAACAGGCGTGCATCAATGGATCATGAAGCTGAAGGCACTTTGCATTCTTCTTGGGGTTGGTTGACTTGTTTTTCTCACCATTTTATTGCTAATATTTCAAGTTGTGTAATATTAAACTGGTTAAGAAGTATTTATTCTTTATTAATGTCTGATTTTCAATATTATGCCATTTAAAGAGAATATAATCATTGACAAGAATATTAGTTTTTAGATCGCATTTTCTATTAGACAAGTCAATATGAAATTACTTCATTGAAACACAAGTCTTTCTCCATGGTCTTACTGCTTTAAAATTTGTTTTTTAGGTTTTTGGGGGATTGAGTACAGTTTGACTTCTTTTGGTCCTTATTTCTAAATTTTAGTCTTTCTTGCATTCTCACGGGATTGCTAACCAAAAAATGGCTATGAAAGATAAAATGTTCTCAGAAATAAGTTCTAAAATAATATTGTTTATTTTATAAGACTTTGATTTCCAAGACTCGTTTAATCAAGCATTAAATAAGTAAATAAACTATTTTGAAACAATCTACAAAAGTTCCAATTTATGGAGGAATATACTATTAGAGATTACTATAATTTTTATAAATGAATTATTTTCTTTACCAAAAGACTCACAGGAGTCTTAATGAATAAAACCCTCTGTGAACGGATCCTTGATTCCCTTTTCAGCCTTCTCATATTTGTTATCAATCATTTCATATGTATTTTCAAACATTTTTCTACATATATGTGATCTTAAACAATGGATATCTTTTCTATGTTTTTAAAACTTATGTAAACGTATCATACTTTGTATCTGCTTCCTCAACTTTTATTTTCTCTCAACACTGTCTTTAAAATTTATCTATCTCTATCACCTATCATATCTATATTTCTAGTTTATTGATTTTATTGTCATAGAAAATTCCTTTGCATGAATATAAAAAAATTATGTATTCTTGTTGTATCCAGTTATATTGTAACCAAGGCTACCATGGTGATTTTTGAACATATTCTCCTTGTGCACATGGGTGAGAATTTCACTAGACCATATACACCCCAGAATGGAGGAATCTGAATAGCTGAATCACAGCGCATATACTTCCGAAATTTGTAAGCTAGTGTGATATTGCCATCAAGCAGTGCCTCAGTTTACTCTCCTAAAGTCTGTGTAGGAGAGTTGCTTTGGCCTACATCTATCAACCCTTACTATTGTAAAAATTTGTTAGGTTTTGCCAATTCAATTGCCATGAAATACTGTCTCTCATTGTAATTTTCCTGAATACAAGCATGTTAGAGCATTTTAAAAATATACGTATGTGTGCGTATATATGTGTGTGGATATATATATATATATATATATATATTCCTGCTGACCATTTGGGTTTTATCTTCTGAGAATTGCCTGTTCCAATGGTTTTTCCACTTTTCCTTTTGGTCATTTGTGTTTTTCCTCATCCATCTGTAAGAGTTGTGATATGGTGCTTTGTTTTCAGGTGACGTAAGTGGTAGGAAACCCTTTATTTTTGGATTCAATTTTTTATTGTTATCAATTATCTAATCATTCTATATAAATTTAGTTCATCAAAAAATAATTAAATTAACTTGGTCTTAGTATTATTTTGTCTTTTTAATTTTTACATTTATTTCCCTTTGTTACAGTTTCATGGAATAGGCAATACAGTCACATTGTTCAAAGTGAAACCTACCTCTCACCTCAGGCCCCAGCAACCTAGTTCTCCCTGGAGAACACCAATGTTTTTTGTGTATTATTTAATAGATGTTTTATATATTCATAAGAAAAGACATAGAACTATTATTATAAATTTGAAATACCACTAAATCTGTTATCACATTCCTCTTTTCATTCCTCACATTGATTAACACTTGCTGTCTTATTTTTCTTTATTAGTCTTGCTTGAGTTTTATTTTTCATTCTTTTCCAATATACAACTGATGCATTTGCCTTCTATAAACTTCTACACTGATTTTTTTTTTGTTTTCTATGTGTTTGCTTATCCTCTTAGCTTTTTGATTTACCTACTCTTATTTTCTTCGGATTTTCTCTTGGGTCGCTTTTTTAATCTCTTTGATTTAGAGCTTATTTCATTTATCTTCAGTCTTTCTTTACCTGATCGGGTGTCAGTTATGAGTGGATCTGTCCATTTTCTTCCTGTAAGTCTGTTAGATAAGGCTTTATATATTTTAAATCTGTCCAACGCATCCAAGTTTATAATTGTTATAGTTTTAAGGATGATACTATTCTTTTCATATTGATGTAGTCTTCTATTTGCCTATTTAAAACTTTTGAATTTACATTCTATTTCTTCTGGTATTAATATTACCACTTGAATTATTCTATGATAAGTATTTTCATGACATACATTATTTTTTTACACTTTATTTTAAAATTTTAAAGTTTATCTGTGGTACAGTTTGAATATGTATTAGTTAACCAAACCTGGATTTTATTTTTATAGTAAAGACAAAATCTGTATTTTATTTTTGTATTAAAGACAAGTTAAAGGGTATAAAAATACAGTTAGATAGAAAGAATAATTTACAGAATTTGATAGTACAATAGGGAAATTATGGTGAATAATAATTTATTGTGTATTTCAAAATAGCTAGAAGAGAAGATTTGTAATATTTCTAATGAAGAAAAGATAAATGCTTGAGGTGATGGACATTCCAATTATCCTGATTTGATTATTATATGTTGTATACAAGTATCAAAGTATCACATGCACCCCCAAATATTTACAACTAATTGATATGAACAAAAAACCAGAAAAAGACAAGTAGATATATGTCTTTTAATAGATAAGTTTAAATTTTTTGAAATTATTCTTATTACTATTGCATTGGCTTGTTGATGAAATCTTAATTTCATATTTATCATGCTATGTCTTTTCTTTTTAAAAATACTTTCATTTCTGAATTTCTCTTTAGCCAAAAATAATTTTATTTTGCTTATTCTCTGCTATATGTAATCTACAGATTTTATTAATGACTTTAGATGTTATCCTTAATTTTTCCATCTACATATTTAATTATAAAATATCTTTAAACATCTAAGTTTATTCCATATTTCTATTCTCTTCCTGGATGTCACAGGACTTTTAGCATGCCTTACCCATTAGACACCTCCTCTCACTATTGCTATTATTGGCTATGCTTTCAATTTCACTTTTTTATCAAGCACAGCATTTAGTTTTTTATTTTGTACCCAATAAAAAGTTAATTTACTGACACATTGTGCTAATTAAAAATATTATTATTTTTAATATAAGACATTTTCACACTGTTTCTATTTTTCTTCTTGTTGAAATGAACCTTCAGTAATTCATTTACAGTTTGAATCTCAGCCATTTTATATCTGAAAGAGTCTTTACTTCTTCTCCTACTTTTGATAGATCATTTATTCATGTATAAAATTCTAGGGTAGTAATAATTTTTTTTTACTATTTTCTCCACCGTCTTCTTATGTCTTTTTTGTGGTGGATCAGAAATCGGCATTAGGTGAGCAGCCACTGAAGTATCTTCAAAAGGAGAGTGGTGTATTTCAATTTCTATTTTAGGTGGATCCCTCATGTATTTTTTAGGAGTATTATTTGAGAAGGGCATATTTAAAAACAGATCAGTTAAGAAAAGTTTAGAGTAGTTCAAGTAAAATATGAGGGCTTCAAGTAGGAAATTCATAAAGTATTAGAGAAGTACAACAGAATGACCATAAGAATAATAATAAAAATGACCCTGTGATTCCATTGGGTACTGTTGGTGAACAAAAACAAACGATTTTAGTCACTAGCACCTTTAATCCTAGCTAATCGGGAGGCTGAGGCAGAATGATCACTTTAGGCCAAGAATTTGAGACCAGCCTGGGCAACATAGGGAGACTTTGTTTCCCAAAATGTGAAACTTAGCTCAATACAATGATATATACCTGTACTCCCAGCTACTTGGGAGGCTGAGGCAGAAGGATCACTTGAGTCCAGGACTTCGAGGCTGTAGTGAACTATGATGGTGCCACTGCACTCCAGCCCGGGTGACAAAGTGAGACCATGTCTCTAAAAAGAAAGGATAACAAGGAATAGGATGTGGATACCAGCCAGCAGATGATAGAAAATAAAGGAGAAGGATCAAGATTAGGGGAAAAAAATCACAGGCATGATTTGGATCTACTGGATTTAAGATTTCTATATTATATTCAAATAATAACGTTCAATGAACCATTGGGAACATGGGCATGAAGCTCAGGAAAGAGATGGAGAGTAAGGAGGGAGACCATCTTCATTGTTAGAGCAGCATAAACACGGGGACTCTCACTGGAACTGCCCAGTGGTTGAATTCGGGGGGAGCGTGTGGGAGGATAGGGGTGTTGGGGGAGACCGCAGGGCAGGGAGACGGTGAGGTCTCAGAAGGCTGCTTGATCCCTACCGTAATAGCCAGACACAAAGTCTACACTATTCAACTTCCTGGGTGGCATCTCCCTTTCCATCTTGTTCTGCTGATCAGCTGGGTAACATGGAACTTCACAGGGGACGATATATATTTCCTAAGTTGTTACTGGAGTTTTCCATGTCCCTTAGAGATTATGCCTTGTTGGACCAAGTACAATTCTGCTGGTTTTATGGATTAAGTTCTAGAACCTCTGCTTTCCTGGAAGGGGGGCAGGTCCACTCTAAGTCCTGGGCCTCCTTATTCTACACCTGACCTGCTTCCTTGTGAGTAAGCCAATACTGTCAGCTAATGACAACCGGGATACCACCACCTCCACCTCCAGATAACTAAATATCATTTTAGAGAGTGATATATATATCTGGAGATGTTATGTTGAAATTTTATGCACACAGTACAGATATACATTAAATATGTCACTGGTTTTAAATAAATATTTGTAAAAATAGATTAGAAATGATATGTATTGAAGGTAGGTAACAAAGTGCACAGTTATAAAGCAGTTTGATCAAAGTATATTGTTTCTCACACTTTAGAACTTGGATTTGATTTACCTGTAGCCAGAGAAGATAAGTGACCAACAACACTGTCTGGTTTTGGTAGGTAATGAGTAGA